TTATTGTTAAAATCTCTATAAAAAATATCTGATAATTTGATGTGCATATGTCTAATGATCATTTTTGACCGCCAAATGGCATTTTTTTCACTTTTTTCATTAAATCTCCGAAACCGCTAGACCTTCATGAAAATTTGATCAATTTTTCATCTTGCTAATACAAGTAAAATGTTTTTTGACTTATTCAAATCGGACACTCCGTCCCCTTAAATACTGAGTTACCGTTTTTGGCACTTTTTGCCCCATATCTTCGGAACGGCTAGACCTGCCTTCGCCAAAAACGAATCAGCACGTCTCCTTATCAATATGAATCGAATGTTTTTTGAATTATTCAAATCGCTACAAATGAAAATTTGTATCCTAACACACACACATACACGTACACACACATACATTCATTTCTTCTAAGGTATGCCAAAATGTTCAGAAAGTTTTGAAACGTAAAAATATATAAAAAAATTTATTTTCGATTTTTTTGCGATTACTATAACTTGCCCTACGGGAAGTTAATATAATACTATTTCTATTTCTGTCGAAAATAATACTAATTATTCTATTAAAAAAGTAAAGATTCTACATTTAAATTTAATTCAAAATCCCGTCTACCTCCTTATCGAAGTACCAAAACTACCTTGCCTATTGAAATTTCGAGTGATTTAAAAAAATGGCCGCTGTTTTACGAAACAATCAAAGTGCTTATTCATGATAATATCGAAATCGACTAAGTATATATCCAAAATCAATTATTCAACAGGCGCATTATAAGGCCCCGTACTGAAAAAAATATACAATATTATCTACTGTCAATAAAGTTTCGATTTTATGGGATTCACTAATCAACAAATATCCAAATAATCCTTGTGTGGGCATTAATTTTTTCACACAGTTAAACAGTAAACTCTTTGCAGTTGTATATTTTTTTAGAAAAACTTGGCACAGCTGTACATGCATTAAATCAATTAACTATTCCGAATAAAACTACAAAAAAAGTTTGAGAATTACTTTCAAGACAAGTGCACTTCATATAAAGAGTTATTGCAATTTATAAATTAAGTTGTAAAAAGTCGTAGTTTATGTTTGGTCATGTTATAATATTTAGGAAAGAGTAACAAAATCCAACACTTTCCTTTCATTCGTCACCAGCAATGTCAAATTCCATAACTTCCATATTTGTTAGAACAATCACATTCCTACACAAATGTTTACAAAACAAAACGATATTTCTTTCAAAAATTCTATGCAGAATGATATTCGCTGACCGCAAATGTTTTTATTCAGATAGCAGGTCGACCTGTTTTTTTTTGTTTTAAACTTTATTACTTTTTTTCTTACATTTTTTTTAAGATACTTAACACTTTTTCTTACATTTTTAAGACACTTAACGCTTTTTCTTACATACATATTACTATTTCTTACTTATTACATACAATTTAATTTTTTCCTAACATATTTACATGTTTCTTTATTACTTTTTCCTTTTTATTACATATATTTGAATTTTAACTTTTCTCGAGGGTCGATGTATTGACTTATTCTCCAACTCAGTCATGGATGCACAGAGTCAGAGTCCTTGTTTTTTCATTTTTGAATACAGTTATACAACCCATGTACCTCTTACTTGTAAGAGGCATGCTGCCACTACAGCTTTTGCACACTCTCCATATACGTATGCTGCAGCAATGACCACGAAAGGCTGTGATATTTAGTTTTGTGGATTGTTATTGTGTACAAGTGCATGCGCAGTTAAACAGTTCTCAACAAACACACAAATGTCCCCGTAGCGGGGGCATTTACAAATTAAATGCCGAATATTATTAATTAAATTAAATAGTTTTATTAATATTAATAATATAATGCAACATCAAGAAAATGGAAAATCTATATTACCGTTAATAGAAACATAAAATGTCTTGATCGACACTTCAATGACAGATAGTGCGTTTATACAACATCGTATACAACAACAACAACAACAACAACAACAACAACAGCAACAGCAAATTATTATGTCAATTGCTCACGATCAAAATACGTATTTACAACAGCAGCAAATTAACAAGGTAAATAACCACGAACAAAGTGCGTATATACAACTACTACAGCAGCAACAACATCTGCAACAACAACAACAGCTACATAAGCTTCAACAACAACAGATGCAACAACAACAACAGCAAATTAATAAGCCAATAGTTCATGAACAAAGCATAAATACTGTCGTTAGCGACATGGAACCTTACAGCCAGACTCCATCGGCTTCGTAATTTAAACAATGAAATTGTAACATCGAACAGATTTAGCTTACTAGCTTCAACATCGAATACACAGAACGAAAACACTACAAAGGTCCAAAGGCCACCGCTCGTATTTGTGTATAACGTAGATAAATTGGCGGATATGATTAGTGACATAAATTAAATACTCAACACAAATGAATATATCACTAAATCAATGCCAAATGACATAGTCAAGATCAATGTAGCAGCACCAGAACAGTACAGAAAACTCGTTAAAAATCAAAACAAGCTATCTTTCACACATATCAGCTAAACGAAGAAAGGGCATTCAGGGTAGTGCTGAAAAACATACATCATACGTACGACACGGAAGAAATTATACAAGAAATTGAGGAACAAAATCATAAGGTGAGAAGTATTATCAATGTGAAGCAATACAAAACAAAGCGCCCGCTTAATATGTTTTTTATTGACCTTGGGCCGGCTAACAACAACAGCAAAATATACAATTTAACCAAAACTCAATCATATAAGGAAAACCACATCCAAGCAGTCTCAGTAAAAAAAAAAAATTATGCCTACGACCTGTAATTGCGGCAGTGCTGTCCACCCCGCCATAATTTAAAGAAAGCAGATTTCAAACAATTTTCGCGAAACTCTAGATTTATTGCTGGTGGCGACTATAACTTAAAAACACATTGTGGGGCTTGAGGATGATAACATCAAAAGGCAAGGAACTGGCTGAGCTA